GGTTAGGAATTAGAAAGTGTCAGAGGTCAGAAACTGGGAAGGAGAAGGTTGAGTTTCACTCCCAGGGCACAGGGTCAGGTACAGTTAATTGTAATAAACACTAGGAACATTTATTTAAACTTTGCATTAGGACATAATTAAAATTCTGTTAGAGTCCAGCAGATCACCATCCACCAAGAATTCCATTTTCATGGTTTCAGGGCAGCCCATAAAATGAGAGACATTTCTTTGGGTCACTTCAGCTCTTGGCACTGCTGGATGTGAATTCAGAGATGCAGGAAGGTGAATTTAAGTCTGTTTGATGATGCTGTGAGATATGAAAATAAAACACAGCATGATGGGAATTTCCAAACCCCACAGAGCAGGTTAGGAATTAGAAAGTGTCAGAGGTCAGGACCTGGAAGGCAGAGGAGCTTGAGTTTCACTCCCAGGGCACGAGGTCAGGCACCTTTTGAGGGGATGTTCAGTGGCTGGGACAAGCAGGCAGCACTCGGGGCAGGGGTGAGTGAAGCTTGGCAAGGGGTGAATAAGCTGGGCAGGGAGGGAGGGAGGCAGGGCTGCCACAGGAGCTGCAGTCAGGATTCAATTAATGCAGGCACGCTCCAGCAAGCAGCTCCTCTGTGAATGGGGCCCTTGATCCAAGGCTGGAGATGGGACAGTGACCGTGGGGAGAGGAGAGCATTTCACCATGGACATTGAAAATACTAATTTGGAGCCTGCCAGAGGGATGTTGCTGCATGAATCTTCTCTTTCTCTGTGCTTAGGAACAGACACTGAGCAGATCCCAATGTCCAAGATTCCCTCGTTTTTGAGCACCTCACGTGGCTCAGCACTGTGGGCCCCCTGGGCTGGAGCTGTTTGGCTTGCACTCCTGCAAACAAATAAAACACGAGTGCAGGGTGCGTAACTGGTGGTGAAACCAGTTCTGTGTGTTATTTCTGGTCACTGGCTGCAGAATGAATGCCCTCCCCAGCTGTGTTTCCTCAGGTGTGGTGGTTGGGTGTGCGGTGGGAAGCGTCGCACACTGGGATTGCCACGGGCCTCACCTGGGCTCCCACTGTCCCACAGCAGCTGTTGGGGAGCAAAGTCAAGCCTCAGTGGGAAAACCCAATTGTTTGTGTGTGTGTGATCCTACAAAACTCTCCCAGCTCCCCAAAACACTCCTACTAACCATGCTGTTCCAGTGGGGTGGGATGTGCTTGATCACTACAGCAATGCAACGGGATATCCACAAAAAAAAAAAAAAAAAAAAAAAAAAGAGTATTTGTGTTTGTTCTTTGTGTTTTGTTTTGTTTTATTTTTATTTTGAACACAGATTCCATGTGATGTTCTGCAGTGTTAGTATTCAGCTGCTAAAATATTCTGGAAGAGCTGTGCTCAGTGGGATGCTGTCACTCATCCCCTGTCAGGATGGGGGACAGCTGAAGAGGTGACCAAAAGGCTGCTGCCAAATTCTCCTTTCTCAGTAAATAAGCTCTGTAAGTGACACTGAGCAAATGAAAATTTGGCTGTGGTTCACCTCATTCTTGTTCTGATCCCATTCTTGTGTGGCTCATCTTGGAGCTTTGCAATCCTTCTGCTAAAATCCTCTAGTTTTAATTTTCATCCTATAGGGAACATGATCTTCAGCTTTGAGTCTCATGAAATAAAATTAGGATCAATTCTAATAAAGGGCAAAAGCTCTGTCTTCCTCTTGGAGAAAGTCTTAGAGCAAATATCTTGGGAATTTGGGATGTGCTTCTGTCCTGGAACTGGACCACGTTGCTGATGGAGATGTGGACACCAGCACTGAGTCTGTCAGCCTTTAGTGTCAAATAAATTCTTAGGAGATTTTCTTATATATTGAAGGGATCAAGACCAGAAGAATTAAAGACAATAAGACATCTAACAAATCTTATCTTCCTTAAAAGTGAAATATATCACCAAGGTTCATTTTATAGATGTCATCTTTATGGGATAAATGCATAGAAATGATTATTTCCTTTGTCAGTAATAGCTCACGAGATACTGAACAGGTCTGGATTGCTTGGCATGAAGCAATAGCTTCCCTGGCCTCTGGCTAACTTAAAAAATTTCAGCTGATTTTAAATTGAAATTGAAATACAGAGGAAATTTCAAGGGATGAGGAGGAGGCAGATATTAAGGAAATGTAAATAACATGAGTTGAAGAACTGTAATTTTTTAGTCTGTAGTTCCCCCTCTGCAGTGCAGAATTATATCAATAAGACAGACTGATAGATCATTAATTAATTTTTCCCATTAGGGATTTACATTTTTGTCAGATATCATTTCTAGTCAGATTTCAGGTTTGAATCACAAGCCAGTGACGTTGGCTTTGGCGCCTTCCTGTCTGTGGCTTCCTTGGTAACTGCACAGTTCTTTAAAAACAAAAAATAAAATGATGCAAACTGCAGTGAGTTGTGGGAAATGAAGATTTCTTTGACTAACACATCCCAGAGTGATCTGAGGAATCCTGATCTGACACTTTTCACATCTAGGTGTGTACAGGGAGAACCAGTTTTTAGCCCTGGCCTTGTTGCATTTGTAATGAGAGCAGTAATTCATTATTGATGGAGTGACAGGTGGCGCAGGGAAGGTGGAGCTGCTGCCAGCCAAGAGGAGCAGGGAACAAAAGCCTCTGGTGACATCTGGGTGACGTCCCCTGGGGAGCAGTTTGGGTGATTTGCTGTGTGCTCACAGTGCCAGTGTCTAGACTGGAGAGCTAAAACCATTCCTTGTCTGGGAGCACCCACTCAGGGATTTTGAGGATCAGGGAATATTTGGGATGTTGCCTTTGGTTCTGGCATGGACAGGAGTTAATGATCACGTGTGGTCTCGGCGTCATCAGCTCAAGAATGTGTCTGGTGGAAGAGGAAAGCTGTGGGACCAGAAAACACAGACAACCTGATAGCTTTAGGTCATAAATACCAACCCAGTGGGGACTTCTGTGTTCCAGCAGGCAGAGTCTGATGGTTGCAACTCAGAATAGTCCAAGCTATAGATTAAATATGAGCTTAGTGGTGCTGTTGGAAGGCAGCAGGACAGGATTTAGTGGAGCTGTGTCGTGTGTGAGAGCTGGGAGCCAGGAGCTGCAGCCTTCCCCTGCCTGAACCTTCAGATCCCAGCCAAGCAGACTTTGGCAGGCCCCATCCATTCCTTCAGGCTTCAGCACGACAGTGGCAGTCACTGCTGGTGTGGAAAAGGAACATTTGTGAGGAATGTGATCCTTTTGGTGCTCCAGAGGTGAAGCTGATGCTCTGGAAATGGTGCAGGCAACGTCACCTGAACATCTGAGCTGCTCCTGGACAAAAGGCACAGTGTGTGTCCCTGCTGGGAACATCCCTGCTTCACATTGGTCTAACAGGACCAGAGCACTCCTAATCCTTTATCCTAATCCTTTATCCCACTGGCATCCACCTGCTCCTTCTGCATTTTGAAGGACACCAAAGATTTTGCTGTGGTCTAAAGCAAAAAACCCCTCAGTGGGAAGGTGCTTTCAGAAGTGGTGAATGTTTCCTTTGTGGTTTGCAGATGACTCTGAGTGATTTGGTCTGCAGATGTTTGGGTCCTTTGTAGAATTGTTCAGATTCTCTCTGAGATCAGCTTGAGTCATATTTGTGTCCTTGGCCTGAGTTTGAAACCCATCTCTTGTCTTAGCACTGCAGGACTTAGAAAGGTCAACCATTGGTTTGGTTTGGTTTGGTTTGGTTTGGTTTGGTTTGGTTTGGTTTGGTTTGGCTTGGTTTGGTTTGGTTTGGTTTGGTTTGGTTTGGTTTGGTTTGGTTTGGCTTGGTTTGGCTTGGTTTGGCTTGGTTGGGTTTTTTTTCCTGACTGGAAAGCCTTTCCCTATTTTGAAGCTTGAGTAAGTATTGATAAAACTCAGGGGTTAATCCTTCAGGCTCTTGATTTTCCTGTTTTTAAGACTTCTTGTCCATGCACAGGAGAAGTGTTCTGTAATGTCTCCCTTCACAGGCTCAGATTTCCTTTACATCCTTATCTTAAGTCCAAATTGATTTAACTTAAACCAGTTTTCCCTCCATTTTCTGTAACCCACCTCTTCACCAGATTTCAGCTGTTCAGAAGATCCTGCATATTTGTTAGGGTGAAAATGAAACAACTGGGGTTAAACTCCTGTAACTCTTGGATGTCCAGCCTAATTAAATCAGGTTGTGTGTCCTGAATAATAGTTTAGCCTGAGTGATTTAGTTACTAGAAAGTGTTCACAAAATCCCCTCTTAAAACTTTCTGTATCTGAGGTTCCTGTGACATCTTCCAGCCCTGAATTCTCAGCTGAAATTTGGAGCACATCCAGAGAGGACAATTCTGTAAAGGCTTAATTGGAGCTGCTGCCGCTTCTGAGGAGGAGGAGGAGGGAGCAAGGAAGGAGTGTGCAGAGTGCAGTTGTTGCAGGGAGCTGTGACTCATCCCTGGTGCCTCTGCAGTGCCCCTGCTGCCCCTCTCAGTTCCACTTTTGGGGCACACCATGAGATGGGTGAGCCCCTGCTGCATCCTTGAGTGCCAGGAACTTCCCTTAAAATGGTCTTTGAGAGGGGTGAGCTCTCATTTCCAGGCTCAGGTTGGACATGAGGAGGAATTTTTTCCTCCAAAGGATGCTCAGGGGTTGGAAGGGGCTGCCCAGGGAGGTTTGGAGTGTCCATCCCTGGGGACAGGGTGGTGACAGTCACAGATGGGATAACCTTGGAGGGTTTTTCCAGCCTCAGTGATTCTGTGATTTGATGTTTTAAAGTCTGCAAAAGAACTGTCAGGAACACTTCACAATTCCAGCCAGGCTGGTGCTGAGCTAATTCCAAACCCAAATTATCCTCACCCACGTTGGTCTCAGCTTTGCATTGTATTTGTATCAGACAACATCTTATTTTTGCACAATCTGTAAGACTGTGAGGTGCCTTGATTTCTGATTAAATATACCTTAACTATAGCTAAATATCTAAATATCCATCTTAACTATATCTAAATACATCTTAACTCTCTTGTTTCAGGCTAGAAATCTTCACACAGGAGAACTGGCTGCTGTAAAAATAATCAAGTTAGAGCCTGGTAAGTTTTACATTCTTTCCTGTATTTTTGAATCACATTTTCATTTTTTCCATGTGTTTATTTTCACCCACTGTGAAGTTCTAGACAAAAGAAGTGTTTGGGGTTGTTGTTTTTTTTTGTAGTTCCAGTGGTTAGACGACAGGAAGCCCTGCAGGATGTACCACTGCTCTTGGCTGTGTCATGCTCACTATTTCCTTGTTTGTTCTTATCTGCCTGATCAATTGCTGCATGAGGAGATGTTGCAATTACAACGTGTTGTTGGTACGAAGAGGAGATCATGGACAGATGGTGGATTGTGAGCTCCGAGGCAGCGAGGAGCTGTGGGAGTTGAAGGGGGAAGGGATCAGGCAGGGATCCCAGCTCCCACCAAAGGTGCACTGGGAAAAGCAGAGCCCTGGTTGGGATGTGTCATCTTTGCTTTCTGTGCTGAGGGAGGGGGATGGCTCCTGCTCTCCAAGGAGTTTCTGCCTCTCCTCCTAAAAGCAGGAGGCCCAGGGGATCTCCTTTGCTGCCCAGGAGTTTAACCTGAGTCCTGCACAGAGAGCTGAAATCTGGAATTGTGTCCTGAGTGGAAATCAGAGAATCACAAAATCCCAGCATGATTTGAGTTGGAAGAGAACTTAAAGACCATCCAGGGCTGAAGGGCTGAGGGGAGGGTTCGTTTTTATTTCTGGTTGGTTCTGTGCAGAAAAAGAAATGGGTTTGAAGGCAGAAGGTAGGAACAGCAGAGGATGCTCAGGGGAGAAGTGAAAATCTCTGCCTTTGGGTGCCTGGGATGCTCAGCCCCCTTGGCAGAGCGGGCTGGGTTTATTAATTGGGCTGCAGTGCCAGGGTTAATTAGGCACTGGGGACTCAGGGGGATCCCTCACACCCTGTGTGAGCTGCTGTGGCCAGTTTGGGGCAGTGGGGCTGTGGTGAGGCAGAGTGATGCTTCAGTGACAGAAAAAGGACAATAATAACTCACTGCCACCTTGGTGAGGAACTTCCTCCAGCCCTGTGTCACTGCAGCCAATCCAAATGAAGTGGATCTGGTTTTATTCTGAATTTGAGGAACTGTTTTGGAAGGTGAAGTGAAGCAGGGACCAAATCCTCTGTGGATACTGAGGGAGGAGCAGGATTCTGCCTTTGCTTGCTTAACCACTCCAGTGATAAATGCAAGACTCTGGCCCCAGTTTTAATTAGCACTGATGACCATTTCTTGTGTTTAATTATATTGGTCTGATCACCACAGGGAAGCCATTTTTTCTGGTTTGTTTTGGTTTGGTTTTTTAATCCATCTTCTTTTAAATGTTGCCAGCCTGATCTCCATCCACCTCATGTACACCCACACCCTCCTGGCAGGGATCTTGTTGGGTGTTTGGTTTTTGAGGAGGATTCACAGCATTTATTTACTTACTTACTCCTTTTTCAGGTCTCTTGTTTGAAATACTCCAGATTTTTAAAGAAATTATTAATTGGCTGCTACACACTTCAGTTTTCTGACTAATTTTAAGGGTTTTGAGTAGTTTTTGAAGACTGTCAATTGCAGGGCATTTATCAATTCCTGGACCAGGTCAGGAGCTGTTGGAATTCCCTGTGGTGGTTTCCTGGGAAGGGCAGCCCCTCCAAACAGCAGCACAAGTTCCTTTCACACAGTAGGACACAGCTGGAATAAAATTAATAATACGTTTCCTAAATTAGAGAGTGGAGAAATAGGCTTGGGAGTTACATACAGCATCTTCTGGAGAGGAGAAGGAGAAGGCTCATCAATGGCAATTAATTAGCTGATGGAAAAATAAGAGCTCCAAACTCAACACTTGATTAATCCATAGACAGGGGAATTGGGAGCAAAGACAAAAGGCTCTGAAGCAGAGAGTGCTCCAGAGGAGGTAGGAGTGTGCTGAATGAAGGCTGAAGGAGCTGCACTCAGTAAAATGGCAGGGTTTGAGGAGATTCAGATTGAGGAGAATGGCAGGGGTGAGTCCTGGTTTGTTCCTGTTCCTCCCTCATCTCCTGCAGGTACTGAGTGAGTACCCAGAGAGAGCTGGAAGCAGATCCCAGCATGGATCTGTATTTTATTTCATCACTCTTACCTTTGTCTCTTCTCCAGACAAAGAAAACAATCCCAGCTTGGAAGGTTGCTGTCACTAATTTATTTAAATTTGGGGCAGTTCTCTAGGTCTGCTCCCACACTCACTTGGAGTTAAAATAGTGTTTTTCCCTTTTTTTAAAATTTTTTTTGGCACAGGCTTTGGAGAGCATTAGGCAAAAGTATTATGGCACGCTAATGACATTTCCCAGCGTTCCCTGAGCACAAATGCTTCAAATAATTTGGGAGCCAATTCTATTCCAGAAACTAATCCAACTGTACTCAGCAGCACAGCAGCCAAAGCTGTCTGAAACACTAAAGCCTCTTCCTTCTATGGGTTTAGCAGATGAACCTAGAGGGGACTCAATACAAAGAGGGAACTATTTGCCAGTGGAGTTTGCAGCCACAGAACTTTCTCCCTGGGAGAATATCATAAAAAGTATTTTTAAATATGCTAATGTCTGTTTTAAGTGCTGCTGTCATGATAACTGATGCCCTCTGTCGTGTTCAGAGCCTTCTGCAGGGTTACAGAAGAATCTCGTGCTGGGTTTTTGGGTTTTTTTGGTCCAATGATTGCATTTTCCATTTGAGATCCCAGAAATGGCAGTTCCCTGTTTCAGGCTGGATCCTAAGCTGGACAGGGAGCAGGGTCAGGGTCACAGGGGGGTCTGGCCCCTCTGCACAGCAGAGCTGCCCTGGCAGCCCAGGACTGTGGGGACTGAGGCAGGGCAGCCTCATTTCCCACACAGTGAATTCCCCAAATGAGCTGTGGAGAAGAACCAGCCTGAGGCTGGTTTAAACTGAGCCTGAGGCTGATTTAAACTAACCCTGCTGGGCTTGAACTGTTGTTGGCAGCACCTGGGGTTGAGGAAATATGAAAATAACTCCTCATTAGCACACACACACCTTCCATGCCTCGTGCTGTGCAGCCTGGTTGGGTTTGGGATCGTGTCTGGGGCCAAATTCCTGAGGTTCGAGGAGTTCCAGAGCCATTAAAGGCTGGACATGGCCTGTGTGTGCCATCCCATGTCCCACATGGTGCTGCCACAGCCTCAAAGCTGCTCAGCCCCACACAGAGCAAAGCAGAGGCAGCCTGGACTTGGAATCCAGAGTGCCCAGAATTTTAATTACATCCAACTTGTTGAAATGGGATCAGATTTTACTTTGTGTCCTTATAATGAATTTATAATTCACTGTTCTTCTTCAGAAATGTGTGGATCCAAAGGAGGATCCGGGTACTGCAAGTTTTCACTTAAAGCAGAGTTTTTGGGATGGGGAAAGTCAACAGAAGGGGTTGTGGTGGGGAAAGGAGTGCTACCAGTAGGGAAGAAGCTGCAAAGTCCCACATTTGAGTTGGAAAATAATGCAAAGTGTGACACTTGGGGTGAGTTAGAGCACATCATTTGGCAAAATACATCAGGAAAAACAGCAACAGTGAAGATCAAAGACTGAGCTGTACAAGAGTGGGTAGGTGAGGCAAGGAGAGAGGAGAAGAAACTGCTAAGAGAGAGGAATCCCAGAATCCCTGAATGGTTTGGGTTGGAAGGAACCTTAAAGATCATCCCAATCCACGCCTGCCATGGCAGGGACACCTCCCACCATCCCAGCCCTGTCCAGCCTGGCCTTGGGCACGCCAGGGCACAGCCACAGCTGCTCTGGGCAACACCAATGACATCTTTTTAATTACCAATTCTGTATTTTTAATTACCAATTCTATATTTTTAATTACCAATTATATGCTGAGAGGCTGCTCATAACCAGGACCCAGGCAGGGCAGAAGAGAAAATCCACAGGGAAATTGTTTTGGTGTTGGACTACACTCACTCCAAACTCTGGTGTGCTCCTTGCTGTGGAGCTCGTGGCAGCACATCACCCTCAGAAATATTTAGAATCAGCACAGAGATAATGAGGAGCATCAGTGGTTAGCAGCTGGCAGCTCCATGCCCAGCAGGAAAATCTGCTGCTGGAAACATCACTGTTTCCAAATAGCTGCTCCTGCTTGGAATCAAGTTTCTTGAGTTTCAAGTTTGGGGAATTGAAATTCTTTCTGCCAGACTGCAGGTTTCCGTGAGTCCTGTGAAAAGCAGTCTGGATAAAACAGCATATAAAAAATTTCTATAGAAGATATGGATAAAACAGGATGAGAGATCTGCATTTTGGGAAAGCCATCCCTTTCCTCAGCACAGCCTGAACTTCCTGAGCTTCAGGAGAGTGGTTTGGAGTGAGTGCCTGGGATCTGCTGGAGCACAGGGGTGTTGGGGAGTCAGCACAGAGCTCACCTGTGTGGGGAGAGCTGGGGGTGCTCCCCTGGAGAGGAGAAGGCTCCGGGAGAGCTCAGAGCCCCTAAAGGGGCTCCAGGGGAGCTGGAGAGGAGCTGTGGATGTCGCTGGGCTGTGGAGTTTGTGGAATGGGGCAGATTGTTGTCATTCCCATAGATTCCGCTCCTTGTTTGGGAACTCAGGTTGTTGAAATAAGAAATGTTTGAGGAGTGGTCCCAGCAGAGGCTGCGGTGGTGTGACCCTGCTCTTCATCCTTCAGTGTCCCTTACAAGTGTTCCTCCAATCCTGTTGTTAAATATAGTCTAATTTTTAAATTACAAATGGTAATTATAGTGTTGAAAATCCCAAATCTTCATTATAGTATTAAAAATCCCAGATTAAGCTGCCTGGAGAGGTTTGGGAGTCCCATCTCCATGTCCATCAGGAGAGGTCCATGATGTCCATGTCCATGGTGGGGACTGTGAGGGAGTGGACAGGAGTGCTGCACCTTGAAGGGCTGCTCTCTTCCAGTGTGCCTCTGTCCCACCCTCTGGTGACACTGGGGTGTCTCTGAGTGCCATCACTTCTCCCTCAGCTCCCACACAGCACCAGCTCTGAAGTGATGCAGAATAAACCAGTTTCAAACAAACCCCAGGAGTTTCTCCCCCAAGAGG